TCCAAAAACGTAGATGTTCACAGTGTACATGACAATTGAGCGATAGATAGTTTTGTTCGCCTTTTAAAGCTGCATCGAATGGTATATAAGACTTTCCTTTAAACCTGTTTTAATCTGAGAAAAATACAAAAAACACATCGCAATGGGCTCGCGGAGCTATTGGTCAAAGCTGATCGATTTTCTCACAGATATCAAGTCCGAAGGGAAACCAAGGGTCTGGAACACCATAAAATCACATGCTCTTTCATTCTTTACGAAGATCTGAAATGGGGTCGATTCTCATACCTATTGTACTCTGTCCTTTTTAGTGGAAAAATTAACTAAAATTACTTTTATTTCGTCTTCGTTCAGAATTTTGTATTAGTTTGAATTAGTGCAAAAATATTTCTTAATTGATTTGAACGATTTTCGATTTGAATTCATGTCAAATTCCTTGGAATCTTGAAATTGGTTTAAACTAGTTAGAAATTATTCAAAAGTTCGAATGAGTAATCGGTATGTTTTTTTTTAAGTGACCAATAGAAGGAAATCTTCTGAAGCGAAAATTATATATTTTTTTCGTTGTCTGTAGAAAAAAATAAAAGGTAATGGAAAGTAGATCATGCATTTGATTTTAATAGTGCGAATATGTGTATAGAATACGAGGGCTAATAAACCGTGTCTGATAATTTTTATCAGTATTTTACAAGCACGTATTCATTGAAGTATATCGTTTCTGTTTCATCGCTTATGTACCCCATTACATTACAAAAACGAAATCTTTCAAGAAAAAGAATAAGAAAAACAGATAGGATTTGACAATGTTTTCCTTTGTTCAGTGAATGAAGTCTGTTAGTAAAATGAGTAATAGATTAGTTCCATTATTGTATATTATTATTATTATTGTTGTTACTGTTGGTGGTAATGGCAATGGCATGACTGCTGCGCGAAATACAATTCATACTAGAGCGTCACCATCAAAAGTATTATTTGTTGCATTTCCATTATATTCCCATTTGATTAGTTTAATATCAGTAGCAAAACAACTACAAAACATAAGTCATCATCATTGTACATTTGCTTTGTTTGATGAACAAATTGAAGTATTAAAATCAAAATCATCATTTGATAATCAATTTAATATCATTAGTTGTGGTTCATTAAATGATATAAAAACTCAGCATCATATAGTTGAATATGAATCAAATCTACAATTTTTAATTCGTTTTACATTACCATTAGTATTATCAATTTATGAACCAATGTATAAATGTTTAAGACAACATGTACAGACAAATCACTATGATTTATTTATAATCGATGTGCTTTCGTTTGCTGCACATGATTTAGCTTATGAATCAAATATATCGTATGTGATACATTCTTGTAACAGTCATATTGGAGAAGAAATAAATGTACCCACATGGATACCAAATGGACTTGATTTAACAACATTAACAGAAATGCATCAATCATACTGGACAAGATTTCATAAAAAAATAATTATTCCATTACAGATTATGTATCATTTAAAGTCACATATGGACGATTTAGCTAATATTCGTCGACGATTAAATGTAAACGTTCCATTTTTTCCACTATTCAATCGAAATAATCCAATTATTATTCCAAATCCGGTGGCTTTTGAGTTTCGGCGATCATATATTCCAATTTATCATTTTGTAGGATTTGTTATTGAACCATCAAATTCACACTTAGAATTGACGAATGATGATTATGATATTGATATGTGGCTAAATCAAACGGAAAATGATAAATTTGTTATGCTTGTTGCGTTAGGTTCAGTTACAACTGTTAGTCAACGTATTTGGAATGAAATAATACAAACAATACATTTAGTCAAAAATATGCGATTATTATTAGCTATAAATGATAAATCAATCAAAAATATTTTACAGTCCAATCCTAATATAACATCAGATCGTTTATTAGCTAAAAATTGGATCAATCAACAACGTATATTAAATCATAAAGCAATTAGAATATTTTTTAATCACGGCGGATTACATACTTTGGCAGAATCAATACATGCACATATCCCAATGATTGTTATGCCTAGTTTTGGTGATCAATATATAAATGCAGCTAAAGTACAAGAATATCAACTAGGATTAGCTATTCATCGAGATACAATTACATCGTTAGAAATTGCACAAAAGATTCATTATATAATTGATCCTATTAATTATTCCACTATTCTTAAACAATTAACTAAAATGCATCAATTAAGTGAATTAAGTGGTGGTGCTTCTAGAGCCGCTGTGTTAATCGATAACTGGTTATTAACTGGCTATGAACATTTAGTTACATATGATAATCGCTTATCATACTTTATAGCTTCTGGTTTAGATATTCAATTAACATGGATTCTAATTACCTTAACCTTAACGTCTTTGTTTCTATTTTTATTATGGTCAATTTGTCGATACGTCTGCGGTGGTAAAGAAACCTCAGCAGACGTCAAGGCAAAACAATTCTGATTTGATACTAAAATATTCAAAAGTTACTCAAAAATTTTCTTAGTTCAGCGAAAGTATCATCATATTTTAGACACATATTTTCATATTATTTATCAATAAAGTAGAACTCTGTATACGGACTCGTAGTGTATTGATGACACTGGAAATAATGTGATGTCTCATCATATAACATTTAATTAAATATTTTGCGTAATAGATCACTTGAAAGAGAATTAAAATCTAAACAAATAATTTGGAAAACTTGAACGTTGTTGATAAATATTTCGCACAGTCTGTGAGAAGTACTGCGAAAATATAAAACTCACACATCAGTAGCATAAAATCATCGTAGTTAGTCTACACGAATAATCTTCACTTTTAGCTACAGAGAAACAAACTGACGACATAAAGAGGAAAAATGACGGGAAAAGAGGACAAAGAGGATCTTTCACAACCCAGTTAATATATGATCAAAACTTTGTTCATACTATCATTTAATAAAAGTGATGTTGATATAAAACGATAGCTGTTTAACTGAGCCTATAAAATGTTTTAGTTGAAGATCAACCGACACGCCAAGACATGATGCACTCACTTGTAGTATGATAAAAAGGTATGAGAAGCTTTTATTATTCGTACAAAGAGTGGGTCACTTACTTTTAAATATCTTTTATATACTTCGTTTGCTGTATCGGGTATATGATGTTGTGTAACAAATTTAATATACAATGGCCATATTCTTTTATGTTGTGTTATTGGTAATGTTCGCAAACGCTTTTCGTGTTCGTGTTACTTTACATTGGCCTATCAAAATTCACAATAATTTAACCCATATTCGTAGCATCTAAATATATGAAAAACTCGAGAATATTAATAATAGTGGAACGTGTTATTAGTTGATTTGATAGGAAAACTAATTGCATTTGATGCGATGATATTGCAAAGGAATGTTGTAACTTACTTTATACATGTAAACTGGTGCTCGTTCGCATGCTTCATTCACATTTTCAAATTCGCGGTGCATTATAGATTTTATCCGAACATGGTCTTGACGTTATTGTAAATCAAAGAAGAAATGGAGGCGAAACTAGCCATTAGAAAAACAGGTAAGAGAAGGAAATGAAATAAGTAAACATACCTTTGTCGAAATTCTTTTAATTCGCTCTCGTAAGCTGCATTAATGGTTTCATTTGGCACATGTTTAACAGCTTTAAGATATCGTAACCGCGATTCCATTATAAAGGAGATTATAGGCACAGAATTTGGAGAGATACAATATATTTACAGTGCTAGACATAGGACAAAGAGAAACTAGGAAAAGCGCATTTATTGGTTGAAAGACATACAGGTTATAGCTGACTTACACACTATGCTCTAAGTGCATTAATTATTTATTTTTTGCCTCCTCTAGATTCATAGGTTTTTGCATCCTAGAAATACTCGGCTAAGATCAAAATTTGAGTTAGTGTTCTTTGAAATTGAATTCATTTTTTTGATTTTCCTTCTTTTGATACAAAACTATCGCGATTTAATACTTCAATATACAATTGAACACATTCATCAAGACGATCAGTTTCTTTTAAATATTCTTTATAATCTTCTACCGTTTCTTTTCTAGTAACAAGTAAAAGAAATTGATACATTTTTAATATATGATCAAAAAATCCTCGAAATTAAAATGTGAAACAGCCAGTCGATAGAGCTCGTCGCGTTGAGTATACTAGCACCCATCAACACCCAAAACAATCATAATAGCTGAGCTTTTTAGCCCTTTTTGATGGGACCAGTCATTAAAGATATGCAAAAGAGGCGTTTGGGTGTTATGTATGCAGTACAGTGTGTCATAATCATAAGAATCCGTTTGTTTTTCATTTTTTGGTAAATGCTGGAACCAATCTGGATACTGTTTTGAACAGCCAGAAGATTTTTCTATCAGATGAGGTGGATATCGGTATTTTATGAGAAACCTTGACAATAGGGCTTCTGGTAAACCAGACAGCATGGTATCGTACGACTGTGATATAAATTTCGCTTCCGTATTTCTTAGTCTTATCAGATTTCGGTAAATTATTTTACGAAACGGAGCTGTTTTCCTGCGAAAATTTCTAAGCTTAAATTACGAAGGATACAATAGGCAACTTTAGCATGCGATGTGGACATGTATTTTTGTGTTCAAAATCGTTTTTTCTAATAAGAAACGCTTGTCTGTGCACAGAGAATCAATTCGATCAACAACGCCGTTACCGCGTTTAACTTATCTAACTACAAACAAGTATTCAACGACAACCAGTAGTGTAAAATTTCAGACGACACAGTCTTAGACGAAAGCGAACCCACTTTTGACATCTACTACTCATGCATCACACAGCATAGCACATCGCAATAAACGAGAAATTCATATTTTGGATGTTAAATTCGAAGACGCAACAACTCGCCTTGTATGTGTTATGTGTACTGTCTGTATATTTACACGTTAACCAAGGTTAGTTCAAGTGTCAGGTAGTGTGAAAATCCAAATGTATGTGTATGCTGCTGAGAGTAAGCTACGAGACAATATTTCAATACTACTTCTTGCTGCATTCGTGTACGTATCTGTCGATAAAGAAATAAAAAGAATTACAACTTTCACATCACCTGACTTGATCTAACCTTAGTTGAAGCCTTAGTCTATATATGAATACAGGATGCGTGTTACATAAGCATAGGAACCTCGTAATATACCGAAAGAGACATAGTCACTAATAATACGTTCAATACGTTCACAGACTTTAAGAGCGGTCTAACGCCATGATTCCGCACGATTTTTGACTACTTTTACTCAATGAGTACTCATTTTGTACAAATCAAGCTGTAGAAACAACATAGAATTAGTAACGGAACAGAATAATTCGTAGTTTTTGTATCTCTGTGGTCTCTCTGTACATTGAAAGAGATGAACACGATAGATAGATCACTGCCCAAATCATTAATATAGAGAAGAAATAGCAAAGGCACTAATAGTAGATAGAATAATATATCAACTTGGATTTATGATTTGATCCAAGTGAATGTGGACCTCGTATGCACATTTATGATGAAAATAAGCAACTAAAGCAAATTTATTTTTATGTGGTTCATGGGATACATGTCGAACAACCAATGTTGGTTGGTCAGAGGGGCTTCATTATTGTCGTCGTCCAACAAACTAGTTTCAGAAAAATAAATAGCTTTGGATAATCGTTAAAACTTAGCCCGATAAACATCGAAAAATAATTAAACGAGATCGTGGCTGATAGCTCAATAAGAAGTGGTAGAGACTGCTGGAAATCGACTTTAGCGGATGGAACAAAGTATATCTTGAAATCAGAAGCACTAAAAACAGCTGTAGAAGCTAATAATTATTGCGAAAATACGAATGAACAGATATCATGAAAAGATAAGCGAGATTAAAGACGTCATTGTCTTCACCACCTTCGTTAGACTGCTGTTTTCAACAGATTCTTTCAACTAATGCGTGCGGCACCAATATTTATATTATCAATACGGCAGAACTCATGGTGAAATTGAAACGACTAATCATGCTATAAAATATTCTTTTGCGGGAAATAATCATTAAGATACAGAGCGGTTAGAATACACAAAATAGGTGTAAAGTCCAGCTTCCCACACACACTGCACTAATCACGTACTAGCTTCTCGGAAAGCCACAAGGACTAGTCGGAAACTGTACTGTACGCCACAACATAGTGAGTATGCCGTCAGATGGGTGGTCCGAGGCACCAAGACAAAAGTAACTTGGCCAAGATTATTACATAACTTTGCTATCGCCGAGATTTGAACACAGTACTTTTGAAGTACGTGACGACCATCAACATAAACATCAAACTATGCTGCCCACGAACTTTGCCATTTATCGTATCGAAAGTATGTAATTTATCTATCTATCGAAAGAAAGAAAGAAAAGAATAAAATAATACACAAGAAGAGAACTGGTTATATAAAAGCCTGTGTTTGCACTCATTGATAGAATAGAACGGACTTTTTACGGACTATTTCATAACCATCAACCATGCTAACAGCAATTTTAATAGCTCTCATTTTTACATTGCTCGTTATCTATTGCTTCTATATTAATCAATTTTACGATTTTTTCATTAAACTCAAAATACCTGGTCCTGAACCTCAATTTTTTATGGGTAATTTTTGGGAAATAATTAAAGCGCGTAGTACCTCATTTCCATTAAAGGCGTGGACAGAAAAATATGGTAGTTTATATGGCTATTTCGAAGGGCATACACCAATGTTAGTGTGTTCTGATCCTGATATACTACAAGATGTATTTATTAAGCAGTTCTCAAATTTTCATTCACGTCGACTTTTTCCAACGGAAGAACTCGGCTCAAGAAGTATTAATTTATCTAACGCTATTGGTCTTCGTTGGAAACGGCAGCGATTAGTCATTAATCCAACATTTTCATCAATAAAATTGAAACAAATGTCACCACTGATGAATTCCTGCATTGATCAACTAATGCATAACTTAGAAGTAGAATATCAAAAGAAAACAGCATTTGATATCTATACATTGTACAAGAGACTAACAATGGATGTGATATGGACGTGTGGATTTGGTGTTGACACCGATATGCAAAATAATCCGGACAATCCATATCTCACTCATTCTCTACGTGTATTTTCAGATGATCAGAACAATCAATTGCTTATTTTACTCGCATTACTCATTAAAGAATTAGACTTTATATGGATAGGCCTCCTTGCCATCGAAAATAATATGCGATATTGGATACAGAAATATTTGCCATTTATGGGAGCATACTTCGATGAAGAGCCATCGGCATGGATTCTAAAACGTGTGGAACAAATTATAAAACAGCGAAAAGAATCTGATGTCCAACGAAATGATCTAATGCAGTTGATGCTGGAATCGGCCACAGACAAAGAAATCAAGGTGAGACTACAACTTGTGGTAGTGATTTTCACAATGACCTTTTATGTTTTAGGACTCGGGGAGTTCGCTTACTCACATCGGCGCTGAAGGTGTGGCTATGGTTAAAAAGATTACATTAAAAGAAATATCGGCTAACATTTACTTATTCATGATTGCCGGCTATGAGACAACAGCAACAGCTTTAGCTTACTGTACATATGCGTTGGTCACACATCCACATGAACAGTACAAATTACAAGAGAGCATTGATCAACATTTTGACCCAGAAAATGATTGTGTCTTACCTGATTATGATACTGTTGCTAATATGGAATATCTTGATTGGTTCATCAGAGAAACGTTAAGATTCTATCCGATCGCACCTGTTGCTGTTAATCGTGTAAGTTCTGAACCATTTGAAATTAAAGATGTTGGCACTATACCAGCTGGTACAAACATCTGCATAGATATGTACAGTTTGCATTTTAATCAAAAGTTGTGGGGACCTGTCAACGTTAATACATTTTATCCTGAACGTTTTAGAACAAAACGACATCCTATGGCATGGATGCCATTCGGAGCTGGACCAAGAAATTGTGTAGGAATGAAATTTGCTTTGACCGAAATGAAAATAGCGTTAGCTCGTCTATTAAAAACATATTCAGTAGTTAAATGTGATACGACAGAGAAATATTTTGAACTAAAAGAATATATTTGTATTCATCCGCAGAAAATGATGATTAATTTGCAACGGCGCGATGGACCACAACATGCTGAATAGCTAAACATAGACATTTGGGTTGTACTTTTGTAAATGCCATATTTTCTCTTCTACTTTTTGTTTTTGTGTGTAAGATATGACAAAGACTTTTAAGACGAAGTTAGAACTACTAACACTTTTTCATAAATTATTATCGACGATCAAATATAAGACCGATGGTATTTTGAATAACTCAAAGACAATAAAAGATAGAGATCTGGGATTTCCAGCAATCCATACAAGAAATAATCCATTGTGTATCTATGACTAAAATTAAAAAATTCATAACTCAGTCAAAAAACATTCCGACCTCACCTTGTAAACTCGATGACATAGAATTTGAATTATACCGAAGGCAAGTTACTTAAAAGACGAGACACAAAGACTTTATTGGAATTATTCTTGATCAGCATGGTTAGGATAAGAAAATCTTACGCCCGTTTCAGGAATGAGATGATAATTTAGCGACCTTCATGTTTAAGAGGGAGGGAGCCAGCCAGATCTGAACGGGGAGCTGGGAGATAAGAAAGTGGACTTTTAATGATACATTGCTTTTAACCCTCATTTCACCATCTGTGATCTGCCTATATTTGATCAGATTTTTTGGGGGATGGCCAAACTCGACAGAGGGAACGAAGAGTAAGAACAAGTCTTTTTATTTCGACCTGTTTAAAGTATTACTCAAATAGGTATCCATATCGAAAATATCCACTTTTTCGACTTTTACATCTGAAATGAGATAGTTTATCGTCATGGACAGCCAGAACACAAAAACACTCAACTGTGTATTCTGAGCATGTATAGAAGGGAAACTCTGGCTTTAGAAAGCAAACAAAGCTCTTGTTTTGCGTCCCTGATTCTTTCGGAGAGTCTGGGACGCTAAACTGTCTCATTTCAAATGAAAGAACCAAACAAGTCCAAATCGAAAAAATCGGTATTTTCGGTATCCGGTACACCGATATCAGTGCATACCTATACCCAAATACAAAAACAACATGACCATTTTGACGAGCATCTAAGAGGGGTATAAATTAATCATCTTATCACATTGTGTATACATCTCAAGGGCTATATTTATCTGTCTTTCATGGACAAACTAGATGAAGTAGGTAGATGTTTGTCTATTTCTCCAATATCGAAATTTACTAAAGCAATTCTGTCCGTAAATACAGTTTAATGAGCAGCAGAAGAACAAGTGGCATACGTACCGTCTTACGTAGTGAGCTAGCTCCAACCTATTAGTAGACTGAGATGTAGGCTATCATAATCGGTTATAAGCAGGTGAGTACTAAGTTATCCGCTTATATAACCGACGGGTTAAACGGTCTCCGAAGACGAAATATGTTTTAGAAAACGGTGGTTATGAAGTCGGTTAAGCGGGTGTTTTTAGGGTCCGGTTAGAGCGCCCGGTTAACGGGGAGCACAGTGGGCATTTCCTCATAGAGCAGGCGGCATTTTTTGCCGACATAGTTTTTTTGAATCCAAAAGCACTTTTTTATAGGTTTTCGCATACGGTATTTCCAGCAGTGTGGCAAAGGTGAGTCGT